GACTGGTGGCTGAAGACGGTTTGAGCAGCGGTGGCCGCTGGCGGTTGCTGAGCGAGTATCGGGAGGAAGTTGGTGGTCTGCCCCCTGCCCAGGATGTTGAGAGATGGAAGCAGATGGTCCATACTCTGATGATCTACTAGCTAGGCAGGAGGAGTGTTCTGCCGGACTCCCTTAAAAAAGGAAGGTTGATTGCAAGTCTTCAAGAAATGGAGTCGCGACTTCACGTGCGAATGATGTATCTCCGTTGAGGAAGAAATAAGTAGGAGTTGCTCCCCCTTCATCTGATAGGGTTAAGCACCTCGTTGGCGCAGAGAACAAGAAGGTTGGCGCTATGCGAAACACTCGGGATGTTCCACTCAAGCCTCCTGTTGACAAGCTTGGAAACCGTGATCTGCTTCATGAAGTGGTCCGCTCGCGAACTAGTTCACCTGCCGAGAGGCAAAGAGATGTTGGTATTCCTCTCCGAAGTTCGAGTCATCTGCACCAGTCAAGGGATGAAGATCGAACTGGGAGGTGTGCTCATCTGCTCAACTATCGCGATCCAGCTGTTGAGTCACGAGCAGTCAAGTGTGGAGTTGATTCAACATCGTTCCAAGGATGGCAAAGGCTGGAGATTTTTCCAGCATCCTCATCGGCGCGTTTCCTGCGACTGGTGGCGGAGCTCCGTATCGACGTCTGCTGCTCCGACATCGTTGAGTCTGATGTTGTTGTCCGTGAGGTCAAGCGACGAACAGAAGTTGTCGATTTGACTATTGCAACATTTGGTAGTGTCGCGCTGGTTGCGGATTGCACAGCCATGGGTGCCTAGAAAAAATTCCACCGGGTTGTGGTGATTGTTTTTGGCTTGTTTTTCTTGGTGGGGCCTCTCATCATGATGATTTGAGGATTTCAGAAGAAACTGATGATGAGAATGAAATGGATTTTATTTTTTATTCATGTATGATGTTAGAATAATTTGTTTCCTTTTTTATTTTATTTTTTGGGTCAAAACACCGGCCAAGATGTCAAAAATCCGGGGATAACTCCTATTCTTGTTGGGAAATCATATATTCCTTCGGTAAATAGGTTTGACGCTATAAAACTAAAACTTTATGCAAACAGATTGTTAGTAAACTAATTTATAGCGTCGAAACCCTAATGTATTTTGGAAAGATAAATAATAAAAGAAAATATTTTCCTAGTCAAGTAAATAATTATCTTGATATATTATGACAAATGAAGTAATTATAGTGTAGAAAAATTTATATGAAAAAAGAAAGGAAAAAGAAAGTTTAGATTGGTTTCCGGTTTTAATTATAAGAAGTTCAAGTTGGAATATGGAACCGACTCCCTAACAAAATTTGATTGCATTGAATTGAAGAATCGTCGATTCTGTCCTTGCTTGGTAAGTTTTGGTGAATCATACTCCTATTTTTGTTGGGAAATCATATATTCCTTTTGTAAATAGGTTTGTTTTCCTAGGGCTCGTTTAGTACGTTAGATTGTACTGACTAATTTATGTCGGATAGTATTAATCTGTTCCAGAGAGTACTGACTATTTATCCATAATATTATAAGGTGTTCGGTGCTGTTCCGAATAAATAATCTGACTAAATTATACTGTGTTTGATGCTGTTCCGGATAACTGGAGAAGAGAGAGAAATTTCAATATAAAAGCCCAAATATATGCTTTCTTCACCAATTTTGTTTCCTAATTGCATTCTGATTTAAACCAAACAGAAATTTTCCCTAATCAGATTAAAGATAGTAGTTATCTGATTAGATTAGTTGTGTCATTAGTTACTGTTGTAACTTGTAAGTAATTAGTTAGTGCTGTTGTAACAGCTAGTACAGGTGGCTTTATCTATTGTAAAGATTAGTCAGATGCTAAGCTGTCAAGGCTAATATAAAAACGCTTTTGTAATTATTCTTTATTAATCAATCAATCACAATTTCCTTTATGGTATCATACGCCGCCTGTTCGATCCTCTCCAACTTTTCTTCCAAACAGTGATTTTCCCATCAACCAAACAGTTTTCTTCTGCTCCAATTCTCTTATAATCAACTTCAAAATGCTTAAGTATTCAACAAAACTAAGAATCGACAAAATCAAATTGAATACATGGGTAGGCAAAATCAAGCATTAAACCTGAAAATTGAATCAAATCTGATGCAAAGATTCTAATGAGCAACTAATGTAAGTTGGGAAGGGTGAAATTGGGCATGTATCACTCTTTTTAAAAGTATTATTTTCATTAACTGCAGATTCAAGTTTAGGCAACTCCAATGGCATCCACTACTGTTATCATCCACTGAAAGGCCCCACTTATTATACAGTGTGTTTATTCATCTCAACATGGAGGAAACATCAAGTTGGACAGAGGACTTCAGACAGATGATACAGAGGGATGTTGAGGTTAGGGACACAGTTCTTGGGGTGGATTACTTCTCAGATGTTTACAACTTGAAAGGACCCCAGTACTTTGAAGAGAATGCACTGGGGGCATTCCTGTATTCTGCAAATGCCATTTCGGATCTGAATGATTATATCCGGAAGGCCTTCAAGCAATATATGGTATACGAATATTACTTTGTATAATGCAATTAGTTTGTTTAATTTATTTGTATAATATTAATTGTTATTATTCAATCATTGCAGAAAGAGGAGGAAAAACAGAAGAAACTTATGGTATTAACATAAACCTATAAATTGATTTGGTTTTTTTTTTTTTTTAAATTTAAAATTTTAAAATAATAAAATTATATATTAATGTCTACTAATATCAGCCTAATATGTGCTTTTATTCTTTTATTATTATTATTATTTTTTTTTTCAGACAGTGGAGCAAATATTTGATATGCTCATTCCCTTCTTCCCGCACGTGCTTATTGATGTGTATGATTTCCTCGTAAAGAGGGCCATTCCACTTTCTTCATTTGAATTAGTAATAGGTATATATGTATAGAGTGCTGATTTTCTCACTTCCCTTTCGTCCATTTACACTCACTAAACATAATGACTTGGATCCAAAAAACCTAAACACAATGGCTGCCTGTTTTGAGTTTAAATACTTGCTATTCCATATATAAACTGTCATTTTGAACAATATCATGTAGGCGACGACCACCAAGTCATTATAATTCTCTTGAACCCTTTCAGCAGCAGCAAAGGTTTGTCCTGCATCCGTCTTCCTCCCTTGGAGACATCCGAGACTCACTTCGAGGGATCAGATGGCATCCGATCCCCCTCAAAGGTTATGTTGAATCCGGACGCATTCTTCCCTGGTGACTAGCGTATTTTTTTCACTGGATATGCGACATGGTGAATTGCAGTTTTTTTACAGAGGCCAAGTCGTCTATGCAGCTGATTACTATTATGGAGCGATTATATCGTTTGGCCTTAATTTGTGTTGTGAGCGATTATATCTTTCGGCCTCAGTGAGTTGATGATATTTTGGGTTCTTTACATATGATTCTCCGAATTGTGTATTTAGCAATTTTATAAGTGTTATCTCACATGTCTCGAATGTTCTCCTTCTGCCAAAAAGCTAGAACAAATTTTAGTTAAAAACATGATATCTGATAAATATAAATTGAAGCATAAAAAGAATGGAATATATAAATTGAAGCATAAATATGAACTGTACAAATTTTAGGTCACTACTTGTTTTAGCAAAGAAAGTGTACCTGTGTTTGGCACTCAGCTTCGACTTGCTATCAATAATCTTTTACCATTCACGCAGTGTATATCCGTACGTAACAGCGGAATATCTCAGATTTCTAATTCCTTAACCAAGTAGAATTTTCCTTTTATTGGTAGTAATTTTTTAATTTCAAAGTATCCATTTTGTTATAGTTTTTAACTCTTCGCATTGCTCCAGGCTGATAACTGGAGCTCTGCAGGTGGCTGAGGGTTCACACTTGATCTTTGATGAGACCCAGCAGTTGGAAGCTAGGACTCTAAACTCTGTAGGGGTTGAAAATGCAAGAGTGCTTAAAACTCTATGGAGTTGCAAAAGGTGATTTTTCTGTTGTAGTTTTCTTTATGTATTTACCGCTTAGTGCACCAAGATTGGAAAACTCTGCTTTCGTGGTAAACAATGCATTCATTCCTGAGAATTTTAAAAGATTTGTGCTTCATGAGATTATTAGGTCGTCCATATGTAGCAGTACTTGATACAATTTTGAAAAATAAATTACCAGTTTTTTCATACATCTTGCAAAATAAATGACCAGGAATGATATTGTTTGTTCAAAATCCATTTCAGAGACTTGCGTTTGATTAGTTTGTACTTCTTTTATCCACTTTCAGAAAATGACTTATATGGCAAACTTAAGATTTATTATGGCCCCAAATTTTAAGAGCACCAGAAAGTTCTTATGAACTCTATTTGCAATCAATGCCTATCTTTGGTCAAGTGGTGCCGGAACTAGGAGCAAATTCAATTCATGATCAAGGTTCTGCTCCTATACATTGATCTGGAAATGGTAAACAACATGATATGAGATAAATATAATGTTGCCAGTACATCTTTGCGCTGCAACACACATAAAATAAGCAAATCAAACTTCTACATGAATATTGAAGTAGATGAACTTTCTTGTCTAATTCCATCTAACACTTTTTTCATACATCTTTCAAATTAAGATTAATGTGTCAGTCATTAATCACAACTGACAAGTTAAACCTATCCCACTCCATTCAACTACTTGTATCACTATCTCCGCATTTAAGCACCAGGTCTTCAATCTCTGTTTTGTTAAATAACATAAGCTGTAACAGACGAAAGTTTCCTACATTGGGTCACCCAAGTGTCTCAAGCACGTCAGGATACTGTGTGGGGTAAGGGAATACAAGTTTAGGCTTCAAAACTTGTACAAATTTATAGCTTCAAAACCCTAATCTATTTTGGAAAGATAAATAATAAAAGAAAATATTTTCCTAATCAAGTAAATGATTATCTTGATATATTATGACAAACGGAGTAATTATAGTGTAGAAAGATTTATATGAAAAAAGGAAGGAAAAGGAAAGTTTGGATTGGTTTTCCGGTTTAATTATAAGAAGTTCACGTTGGACTGTGAAACCGACTCCCTAAACAAAATTTGATTGCATTGAATTGAAGAATCGTCGATTCCGTCCTTGCTTGGTAAGTTTTGGTGAATCATACTCCTATTCTTGTTGGGAAATCATATATTCCTTTCGTAAATAGGTTTGTTTTCTATTGTTCTAGGGAATATGTCTGTATAAGATAGTCTTTTCGGGGTGAAAGAAAATCATAACTTTGAGGGTGTGTGAAGTGAAAAACCCTAACTAGCCAGAGAGTAGCCTCACTACAATCACACTGCCGCCCTCCTCTCTCTTCTCTCAGTTCCTTCACTTCTTCTCCCAATAAGCTTCCGGCTCACACCAGGTAAATCTCTTGTCTTCATTTAATTGTTGATCTCTTCTTCCTATAATTTTCAATTTGTTTTGTATATCTGAATTTCTAATTCTTGTTCTAGACAGAGTGACGGTTCGGCTTGGGGTTTGGTTTTAGAGGTTTCCTCTCTCTTTTTCTCTCCCGCTGACCCAGGTGATGAGCCTTTGTTTGTCGGTGTGTTTTAATAATAATTTAATTAGTGTGCTTTGATTTGGTTATTTCTGGCCTTGTTTGACTGTTTTAATTTGTAATTTCCTTTCTTCGCTTGATTTCTCTCCCGCAAATTAGTTTTTTCTTTTTCTTACCAGTATGGATGGGGAAGGATCTGCTTCAGGAAGTGGTAGTGCGCTACCGATCTTTGATTTGAATGCTCTACTTGGGAGGCGTACGCTGAATAAGCACTTCGAGACAGAGAATCCCTTTGATAATAATAAAATCACTCCCTTTTATCAGAGAATTTTTGGGTCAGTTTATTTTATTTTATTTATCAGAAAGGCATGCGTATATATTATTAACTGTGTGTGTGGGTGTTTTTTTATACTCCAGATCTCTCATTGAGGCTATTTCTATAATCGAGTCAAGCGGGATCACTCGTGGTTACCTCCAGCCCGATCAAATCATGGTTGGTGGTGGCCCGTGTACGAGGGCTTGGCTGTTAAATGAACCAGAGGAGGACAATCCGACCGCGCCTACCTACAGAGAGCAGTTTGATTCCCTAGTACGGATGATCCTTGGTGAACGAGACTTCTCGAACTTGGAGTTGAATCATTTTCTCCACATCACAGCTTCTGCTGCTTCTGGACGACAGAGTTTGTAAGCAAGCTATTTAATAACTTTTTTCTTATATTTTATTTAAATCTGTTCATATAGGAGCGTGCACTAAGTAGGCCAAAGCACACACAAAGACAGATGAAATAAATAAACCCGGAAAAAATGATACGTAATTCACCTTAATGCATGAATTTCAATATAAAAGCCCAAATATAGGTTGAGGGCACATGCACATGCTTTCTTCACCAATTTTGTTTCCTAATTGCATTCTGATTTAAACCAAACAGAAATTTTCCCTAATCAGATTGAAGATAGTAGTTATCTGATCAGATTAGTTGTGTCATTAGTTACTGTTGTAACTTGTAAGTAATTAGTTAGTGCAGGTGGCTTTATCTATTGTATAGATTAGTTAGATGCTAAGCTGTCAAGGCTAATATAAAAACGCTTCTGTAATTATACGCCTGTTCGATCCTCTCTAACTTTTCTTCCAAACAGTGATTTTCCCATCAACCAAACAGTTTTCTTCCGCTCCAATTCTCTTATAATCAACTTCAAAATGCTTAAGTATTCAACAAAACTAAGAATCGACAAAATGAAATTGAATACATGTGTAGGCAAAATCAAGCATTAAACCTGAAAATTGAATCAAATCTGATGCAAAGATTCTAATGAGCAAAATTGAAAAAGAGAAGACCAAATCAGAACACAACAATCAAGTGAACTACTTGAGCCAATTAATGTAAGTTGGGAAGGGTGAAATTGGGCATGTATCACTCTTTTTAAAAGTGTTATTTTCATTAACTGCAGATTCAATTTTAGGCAACTCCAATGGCATCCAGCACTGTTGTCATCCGATGAATTGCCCCAGTTAGTATACTGTCTGTTTATTCATCTCAACATGAAGGGAACATCAAGTTGGAAAGAGGACTTCAGACAGATGATACAGAGGGATGTTGAGGTTAGGGACACAGTTCTTGGGGTGGATTACTTCTCAGATGTTTACAACTTGGAAGGACCCCAGTACTATGAAGAGAATGCACTGGGGGCATTCCTGTATTCTGCAAATGCCATTTCGGATGTGAATGATTATATCCGGAAGTCCTTCAAGCAATATATGGTATACGAATATTACTTTGTATAATAATTTGTATAATGCAATTAGTTTGTTTAATTTATTTGTATAATATTAATTGTTATTGTTCAATCATTGCAGAAAGATGAGGAAAAAGAGAAGAAACTTATGGTATTAACATAAACCTATAAATTGATTTGTTTGTTTGTTTGTTTTTTAAATAATAAAATTATATATTAATGTCTACTAATATAATTTTTTTTTTTTGGCAGTCAGTGGATCAAATATTTGATATGCTTATTTCCTTCTTCCCGCACATGCTTATTGATGTGTATGATTTCCTTGTAAAGAGGGGCATTCCAATCGACACTGTAATTTGATTGATGCAGGGGCAAAGTTTAATGTCTAGGAAATGAGTCTTTATAGTTTCTTCTGAAGATTTATGCTACTTTTAAGTCTCCATATGTGTATTAATATGGATCCTTCCAGATTCAAGTACCAATTACCGAGGGGCTACTTTGTAAACTTCCAGAGGTTCTTCTGTAAACTTTGTTTTTCAGAATTTAGACTTCAAGGCAATAGACCCGAAAAACATATTCCGCCCTTTTTAATTCTTGCTTTTGTGGCGTGCTTTCTAACATATTCTAGTAATTTCTGTAAGAGATAATTTCACTTGTCACCACATATTGTTTGTGGATCGTATCTGACTAGTAGCTTGATAAGATTTCTTTTTTGTTTTTGCTTTTTTGGTGAGATGTACTTTCTTCATTTGAATCAGTAATGGGTATATATGTATAGGGTGCTGATTTTCTCACTTCCCTTTCGTCCATTTACACTCACTTTGAAGCCATACAATAATGTCTGTTTATTTCAACTTCTACCTAAAACATAATGACTTGGATCCAAAAAAACTAAACATAATGGCTGCCTATTTTGAGTTTAAATACTTGCTATCCCATATGTAAACTGTCATTTTGAACAACATAAAATTATTGCCAGGAAGTTGATGAGTACGGCAGCTTTTACAAAGGAAATATGGTTTTAATAATATTATCATTATTTAATAATGGAATATGCATTTATTATTTGGTATGATTCACCAAAAGTTACCTCTCATGCTCATGATCCCAAACCAATTGGCAAAGTCTAAACAAACACTGTTCTATAGCGTTTGTGAAGGAAAAATCTACAAGAATATTCAGACTATTGAATTCCCAGAACCAATGCCTAAAACCGACATTAGAGAGAATAGGTACTTTTGTTGCCCTGGATTTGGTTGGTTGGCCATTGTAGATTGTTATCATGTAGGCGACGACCACCAAGTCATTATAACTCTCTTGAACCCTTTCTGCAGCAGCAAAGGGTTGTCCTGCATCCGTCTTCCTCCCTTGGAGACATCCGAGACTCAATTCGAGGGATCAGATGGCATCCGATCCCCCTCAAAGGTTATGTTGTCCGCTGATCCAGCTTTGAATCCGGACGGTTTTACGGTTATAGCATTCTTCCCTGGTGACTAGCGTATTTTTTTCACTGGAGCAGGACGGAAGTATTTGGCGTGATATGCGACATGGTGAATTGCAGTTTTTTGACGCTATTTTTCACAGAGGCCAAGTCGTCTATGCAGCTGATTACTATTATGGAGCGATTATATACCTTACTTTGTGGTGGGAGCCGTCGAAGATGGAATATTCTGTTATACGCAGACGTTATCCAGCACAATCTTATTCCAAAACCATGACTTTTGTCCACCATGTATGTTGTGAAATCAACTAAAGGGGACCTTTTACATGTTCGAAGATTTTGCGAATTGAAGAAAGACGACGAAGGATCCTCCTCCTATGGGGTGTACATCACCACACACTTGATGGTTTTCAAGGTACTACTCAACCATGAAAATGAAGATCAATTTGTATTGGAGGAACATGTGGAGTATGTTGAGCTGAAAAGCCTTGGGGATGAGGCTCTCTTCGTCGGGGACAATTATTTGTGTATTCGTTTTGGCTTCCAACTTTGGTGGTTGTCAACCAAACGACATATACAATACGGATGATTCCACCAATTTAGGATGATATCTGATGAGACCAAGTTGGAAGCTAGGACTCTCAACTCTGTCGGGGTTGAAAATGCAAGAGTGCTTAAAACTCTATGGAGTTGCACCAATTTTGCAAAATATATGACTAGTTTTTTCATACATCTTGCAAAATAAATGACCAGGAATGATATTGTTTGTTCAAAATCCATTTCAGAGACTTGCGTTTGATTAGTTTGTACTTCTTTTATCCACTTTCAGAAAATGACTTATATGGCAAACTTAAGATTTATTATGGCCCCAAATTTTAAGAGCACCAGAAAGTTCTTATGAACTCTATTTGCAGTCAATGCCTATCTTTGGTCAAGTGGTGCCGGAACTAGGAGCATATTCAAGTCATGACCAAGGTTCTGCTCCTACATTGATCTGGAAATGGTAAACAACATGATATGAGATCAATATAATGTTGCCAGTACATCTTTGCGCTGCAACACACATAACATACGCAAATCAAACTTCTTACATGAATATTGAAGTAGATGAACTTTCTTGTCTAATTCCATCTAACACTTTTTTCATACATCTTTCAAATTAAGATTAATGTGTCAGTCATTAATCACAACTGACAAGTTAAACCTATCCCACTCCATTCAACTACTTGTATCACTATCTCCGCATTTAAGCACCAGGTCTTCAATCTCTGTTTTGTTAAATAACATAAGCTGTAACAGACGAAAGTTTCCTACATTGGGTCACCCAAGTGTCTCAAGCACGTCAGGATACTGTGTGGGGTAAGGGAATACAAGTTTAGGCTTCAAAACTTGTACAAATTTATAGCTTCAAAACCCTAATCTATTTTGGAAAGATAAATAATAAAAGAAAATATTTTCCTAATCAAGTAAATGATTATCTTGATATATTATGACAAACGGAGTAATTATAGTGTAGAAAGATTTATATGAAAAAAGAAAGGAAAAGGAAAGTTTAGATTGGTTTTCCGGTTTTAATTATAAGAAGTTCACGTTGGACTGTGAAACCGACTCCCTAAACAAAATTTGATTGCATTGAATTGAAGAATCGTCGATTCCGTCCTTGCTTGGTAAGTTTTGGTGAATCATACTCCTATTCTTATTGGGAAATCATATATTCCTTTCGTAAATAGGTTTGTTTTCTATTGTTCCAGGGAATATGTCTGTATAAGATAGTCCTTTCGGGGTGAAAAAAAATCATAACTTTGAGGGTGTGTGAAGTGAAAAACCCTAACTAGCCAGAGAGTAGCCTCACTACAATCACGCTGCCGCCCTCCTCTCTCTTCTCTCAGTTTCTTCACTTCTTCTCCCGATAAGCTTCCGGCTCACACCAGGTAAACCTCTTGTCTTCGTTTAATTGTTGATCTCTTCTTCCTATAATTTTCGATTTGTTTTGTATATCTGAATTTCTGATTCATGTTTTACACAGAGTGAAGGTTCGGCTTGGGGTTTGGTTTTAGAGGTTTCCTCTCTCTTTTTCTCTCCCGCTGACCCAGGTGATGAGCCTTTGTTTGTCGTTGTGTTTTAATAATAATTTAGTTAGTGTGCTTTGATTTGGTTATTTCTGGCCTTGGTTGACTGTTTTAATTTGTAATTTCTTTTCTTCGCTTGATTTCTGAGGAAAATTAGGACATCTTTTTTCACATTTGGTCATGATTATCTCGGTGCAAATTGCAAATTAGTTTTTTCTTTTTCTTACCAGTATGGATGGGAAAGGATCTGCTTCAGGAAGTGTTAGTGCGCCACGGACTCTTAATTTCAATACTATATTTAAAAATAGGCTTACGCTGAATAAGTTCTTAGAGACAAAGAATCCCTTTGATAATGATAAAATCACTCCCATTTATCAGAGAATTTTCAGGTCAGTTTATTTTATTTTATTTTATTTATGAGAAAGGCATGCGTATATATTATTAACTGTGTGTGTGGGTGTTTTTCTATACTGAAGATCTCTCATTGGGGCTATTTCTGAACTCGAGTCAAGAGGGATCACTCGTGGTTACCTCGAGCCCCATCAAATCATGGTTGGTGGTGGCCCTTATTTTGAGTCTATGAAGGCTTGGCTGTTAAATAGACCAGAGGAGGACAATCCGACAGCGCCTACCTACAGAGAGCAGTTTGATTCCCTAGTACGGATGATCCTTGGTGAACGAGACTTCTCGAACTTGGAGTTGAATCATTTTCTCCACATCACAGCTTCTGCTGCTTCTGGACGACAGAGTTTGTAAGCAAGCTATTTAATAACTTTTTTCTTATATTTTATTTAAATCTGTTCATATAGGAGCGTGCACTAAGTAGGCCAAAGCACACACAAAGACAGATGAAATAAATAAACCCGGAAAAAATGATACGTAATTCACCTTAATGCTTGAATTTCAATATAAAAGCCCAAATATAGGTTGAGGGCACATGCACATGCACATGCTTTCTTCACCAATTTTGTTTCCTAATTGCATTCTGATTTAAACCAAACAGAAATTTTCCCTAATCAGATTAAAGATAGTAGTTATCTGATTAGATTAGTTGTGTCATTAGTTACTGTTGTAACTTGTAAGTAATTAGTTAGTGCAGGTGGCTTTATCTATTGTATAGATTAGTTAGATGCTAAGCTGTCAAGGCTAATATAAAAACGCTTCTGTAATTATACGCCTGTTCGATCCTCTCTAACTTTTCTTCCAAACAGTGATTTTCCCATCAACCAAACAGTTTTCTTCCGCTCCAATTCTCTTATAATCAACTTCAAAATGCTTAAGTATTCAACAAAACTGAGAATCGACAAAATCAAATTGAATACATGCGTAGGCAAAATCAAGCATTAAACCTGAAAATTGAATCAAATCTGATGCAAAGATTCTAACGAGCAAAATTGAAAAAGAGACCAAATTAGAACACAACAATCAAGTGAACTAGTTCAGCCAATTAATGTAAGTTGGGAAGGGTGAAATTGGGCATGTATCACTCTTTTTAAAAGCGTTATTTTCATTAACTGCAGATTCAGTTGTAGGCAACTCCAATGGCATCCACTACTGTTATCATCCACTGAATTGCGCCAGTTAGTATACCGTCTGTTTATTCATCTCAACAGGAAGGGAACATCAAGTTGGAAAGAGGACTTCAGACAGATGATACAGAGGGATGTTGAGGTTAGGGACACAGTTCTTGGGGTGGATTACTTCTCAGATGTTTACAACTTGAAAGGACCCCAGTACTTTGAAGAGAATGCACTGGGGGCATTCCTGTATTCTGCAATTGCCATTTCGGATCTGAATGATCATGTCCAGAAGGCCTTCAACCAATATATGGTATACGAATATTTCTTTGTATAATAGTTTGTATAATGCAATTAGTTTGTTTAATTTATTTGTATAATATTCATTGTTATTATTCAATCATTGCAGAGAAATGAGGAAAAAGGGAAGAAACTTATGGTATTAACATAAACCTATAAATTGATTTGTTTGTTTGTTTGTATTTTTTTAAATAATAAAATGATATATTAATGTCTACTAATATTAGCCTAACATGTGCTTTTATTCTTTTTTTTTTTTTTTCTTTTTTTTTTTGCAGACAATGGAGCAAATATTTGATAGGCTTATTTCCTTCTTCCCGCACTTGCTTATTGATGTGTATGATTTCCTTGTAAAGAAGGGCCTTCCAATTGACAATGTAATTTGATTGATGCAGGGGCAAAGTTTAATGTCTAGGAAATGAGTCTTTATAGTTTCTTCCGAAGATTTATGCTACTTTTGGTGAGATGTACTTTCTTCATTTGAATCAGTAATACCCTATATGTGTATAGGGTGCTGATTTTCTCACTTCCCCTTCGTCCATTTACACTCACTTTGAAGCCATACAATAATGTCTGTTTATTTCAACTTCTGCCTAAACATAATGACTTGGATCCAAAAAACACTAAACATAATGGCTGCCTGTTTTGAGTTTAAATACTTGCTATCCCATATGTAAACTGTCATTTTGAACAACATAAAATTATTGCCAGGAAGTTGATGAGTACGGCAGCTTTTACAAAGGAAATATGGTTTTAATAATATTATCATTATTTAATAATGGAATATGCATTTATTATTTGGTATGATTCACCAAAAGTTACCTCTCATGCTCATGATCCCAAACCAATTGGCAAAGTCTAAACAAACACTGTTCTATAGCGTTTGTGAAGGAAAAATCTACAAGAATATTCAGACTATTGAATTCCCAGAACCAATGCCTAAAACCGACATTAGAGAGAATAGGTACTGTTGCTGCCCTGGATATGGTTGGTTGGCCATTGTAGATTGTTATCATGGAGGCGACGACCACCAAGTCATTATTAACTCTTTTGAACCCTTTCAGCAGCAGCAAAGGGTATATTAGGGGTGTTTTTTGTAATTAAATAAGGTATACTTAATTAATTTTACATTTTGATTTAAATATTAGGGTGTACTTAGATCGTGTACTCAGTTAATTTTAGGGTTCGTTTAACAACACCCATACTATTATTGAGATTAGGGAACTTGATTTTGGATGGCACTCAACTCCTCTTTGCTATCAAGAATCTTTTACTATTCACGCATTGTATATCCGTACGTAACAGTGGAATATCTCAAGACTTCACTCTCCATTCGATTTTTAGTATGCACGCATGTAGTTTCCCTTGCTTTTCAAATTAAGCTTGGTGGTTAAACTTCACCTGTACCAGATAGAATGGAAGACTGACGGATCAGCCTTAGAGACCAGGGACAAACCTTTCGTTTTCCTCCTCTTCTCGAAACTATATCTAAAGAATTTTGAAGCCAAGATTGGTATAGATGACCAGGAATGATTGTTTGTTCAAAATCTATTGCAGAGGCTTGCCTTCCTTTTGTTTTCCTTCTTACAGGCCCCTGTCTCTCTTGAACCTGCTTCATTGCCGCTCTCTAAATTGATTAGTTTGTTATTCTTTTATCCACTTTCAGAAGATGATTTATATGGCAAACATTAGATTTATTATGCTACCTGTCTAAATTCATGGCATTCCTCTGGTTGATTGACCTGGTGTTCTGGATGCTATATATTGTTCTAGCTATAGTGGAACTTATAAAATAAGGAACAATTTCATGGCATCATAGGGTAGCAAGAACTGCTGAGATATTATTATGCTCCCATCTTAGTTTCTTATTAGATTAAAATGTTAAATGGTGAAATATAAATCATAGTTGTAAAAAGGCGCACATAACAGCAGCGGAGGGAGAGGAGAAGACAAGTGTATATGGATAGGTACCACAAGTTTTATAAAAAGAACATAGCAGCTTCTCTATGAGTGTCCTTCCAGCAGCTACGTAATAGGTGGTCAAGGCATTTAAGTACAAGGATAAAATGCAATCATGCAACCAAAACTGAAAGTTACATACGGACCAGGTAATGCCACATATCTTAAGGACAAAACATACCTTTCAGCAGCAGCAAAGGGTTGTCCTGCATCCGTCTTCCTCCCTTGGAGACATCCGAGACTCAATTTGAGGGATCAGATGGCATCCGATCCCCCTCAAAGGTTATGTTGTCCGCTGATCCAGCTTTGAATCCGGACGCATTCTTCCCTGGTGACTAGCGTATTTTTTTCACTGGAGCAGGACGGAAGTATTTGGCGTGATATGCGACATGGTGAATTGCAGTTTTTTGACGCTATTTTTCACAGAGGCCAAGTCGTCTATGCAGCTGATTACTATTATGGAGCGATTATATACCTTACTTTGTGGTGGGAGCCGTCGAAGATGGAATATTCTGTTATACGCAGACGTTATCCAGCACAATCTTATTCCAAAACCATGACTTTTGTCCACCATGTATGTTGTGAAATCAACTAAAGGGGACCTTTTACATGTTCGAAGATTTTGCGAATTGAAGAAAGACGACGAAGGATCCTCCTCCTATGGGGAGTACATCAACACACACTTGATGGTTTTCAAGGTACTACTCAACGATGAAAATGAAGATCAATTTGTATCGGAGGAACATGTGGAGTAGGTTGTGCTGAAAGGCCTTGGGGATGAGGCTCTCTTCGTTGGGGACAATTATTTGTGTATTCGTTTTGGCTTCCAACTTTGGTGGTTGTCAACCAAACGACATATACAATACAGATGATTCCACCAATTTAGGATGATATCTGATGAGACCAAGTTGGAAGCTAGGACTCTCAACTCTGTCGGGGTTGAAAATGCAAGAGTGCTTAAAACTCTATGGAGTTGCAAAAGGTGATTTTTCTGTTGTAGTTTTCTTTATGTATTACCGCTTAGTGCACCAAGATTGGAAAACTCTGCTTGCATGGTAAACAATGCATTCATTCCTGAGAATTTTAAAAGAATTTGTGCTTCATGAGATTATTAGCTCGTCCATATACATATGTAGCAGTACTTGATACAATTTTGCAAAATAAATGACCAGGAATGATATTGTTTGTTCAAAATCCATTTCAGAGACTTGCGTTTGATTAGTTTGTACTTCTTTTATCCACTTTCAGAAAATGACTTATACGGCAAACTTCTTACATGAATATTGAAGTAGATGAACTTTCTTGTCTAATTCCATCTAACACTTTTTTCATACATCTTTCAAATTAAGATTAATGTGTCAGTCATTAATCACAACTGACAAGTTAAACCTATCCCACTCCATTCAACTACTTGTATCACTATCTCCGCATTTAAGCACCAGGTCTTCAATCTCTGTTTTGTTAAATAACATAAGCTGTAACAGACGAAAGTTTCCTACATTAGGTCACCCAAGTGTCTTAAGCATGTCAGGATACTGTGTGGGGTAAGGGAATACAAGTTTAGGCGGTCTCACCAATTATCCCATTTTTGGTCCTCTAGATATAAGAATTTCTCCATAAGCGACCTTTTGTTCAACTTTTATGGCATCGTGGGTAGCAAGAACTGCAGAGATAATATGCTCCCATCTCAGTTTCTTATTAGATTAAATGGTGAACATAAATCATAGTAGTAAAAAGGAGCACAAAACATCAGCGCAGGGAGAGGAAAAGACAAATATATATGGATAGGTACCACAAGTCTTATAAAAGAAGATAGCTGCTTCTTTTCGAGTCCTTCCAGCAGTTAGGTGGTCCAGGGATTCTACTTGAGGGGCTCCCGCTGTGTCGAAATGTGATTTCAATAACCTGCAAGCATGTAGGTACAAGGAGAAGATGCAATCATGTAACCAAAACTGAAAGATACTTATGGACCAGGCAATGCAACATATCTTAAGGACTAACATACCTTCTAATAGAATCAGTTGTTTTGTCAAGAGGCTGATCGTTGATTGGTTTTTGGGTTTGTGTTGGTCCCGTTTCCACAAAGAAATCTGCAAAAATGGTCATGCTAGCTGGTGATTGAAATCCTACTCAAACATATCTTAAGGACTAAACCCCTAGGTTTAGTTGCTGCAACAGTAAATGATTGGTAGGTCAAATACCTATCTCTGATGTCGGGCCATGTTCATGTAACCTTGACAACTCGAAATTTACATCAGGGTGATTCACCTCAAATACGGGTTCAAGTCTAACACTGCTATGTCCAGATGCAGAATAAGGCCTTTTCCGGTTGGATCTGTTCACAGTCAGTACTTCATCACAGGGTTTAAGAGAAGCAAAAAGACTATAATTGCATGTGACATATCAAGATATACCAAAGAAAGAATTTATCACAGGGTTGATAGAAATTTTTTGCTAACCTTCCTGAATTGGCTTCTGAAGGAATTGCCTGCCCAGATGCTGAGCTCGGGATGGATCTTACATCATCTTTACATTCCAGAAAAAGCAAACTAGTTAAAATATCAGTGCATATGCTTGAAGTACTTCTCAAAGAGAAGCAAGGTATGCAACGTATTAAATAAATTCAATCGTACCAGAATTTCCAGGGGTTACCATTGGGTTAGCATCAGTTCCCCCTAAACCATTGTTCTCAAGATTGGCTGTCAGTCCTTCCAGGACTACCTGTGCTGGGTCACTGTTGCCTCTTGTCATACCAGAATGTCGTCGTTGCTTATCTATAGAAGTCTCTAAGGACTGGGAGCCAACTCCACTATAATCTTCAAAAGGCTTCACATTTCAACACATTGCAACTTGTTAGACATGAGCTTAATTGATTTCTTAGAAAACGAGAAAAGTAATAGAAGGTGGATTTGCTTAGATATCCTACTGGATCTTCATATTGTTGTCTTCCAGGCAGTGTTGATGACGATGGTTCTGGGGGCAGGGGTGGGGTGGTCCGTTCTGCACACAGATTAATAGTTAAGGTATTCTTTCTATTACTTGAATAATTCATGAGGAATCTCTCAAAATGAACTACGACTATAACTGACCAGAAGGAGAGGCATGGGGAGTTCGGGTACTTTTCATCCACAGGTCGAGGAGAGGACGTGGATAATATATGTCTCTACTTCCAGTTGTAAATAAATCACCAATTAGTACAATAGGTGGCAGCTCCATGAGGTTAACTATCTTCATAGTTGCCATTACATCTGTCCGCTGCAACACACATAGCATATGCAAATTAAAGTTCTTACATGAATATTGAAGTAGATTAACTTTCTTGTCTAATTCTATCTAAAAGTTGTTGCATACATCTTTCAAATTATGATCAATGCTCATTCCATTAATCACAACTGACAAGCTAAACCTAACCCAGTCCATTCAACTTTTAGTTAGTATGCATGCATGTAGTTTCCCCTGCTTGTCACATTAAGCTTGGTGGTTAAACTTCACCTGTAAATAGAATGGGAGACCGAAGATCAACCTTAGAGAGCAAGGACAAACCTTTCGTTTTCTTCCTCTTCTCGAAACTATGTCTGAAGAATTTTGAAGCCAAGATTGGTATAAATGACCAGGAATGATTGTTTGTTCAAAATCCATTGCAGAGGCTTGCGTTCTTCTTGTTTTCCTTCTTATAGGCCCCTGTCTCTCTTGAACCTGCTTCATCCGCACTTTCTAAATTGATTAGTTTGTAATTTTATCCACTTTCAGAAGAGATTTATATGGCAAACATAAGATTTATTATGCTACCTGTCTAAATTCCTGGCATTCCTCTGGCTGATTGACCTGTTGTTCTGGATGTTGATCATCTTGGATTGTATCAGCTGTGGGAGGTCTTCAGATTAGCATGCATATATAACTAAACCTTTCCCCTAATTTCTATGTTGGAATTTCTTTCTCAAGTACAAGAAACTTAAAAAGTAACCAAATGCAGGCACCAAGTTGATAGACATTAAAAGAATCATTTTAAGTGGATGAATAACAGAATCATGTGAAAAGTATCTAATTCAAGCTTATTCCCATACAAAATACTACTAGAATGATAAGCAGGTAGCAGTGTAGCATTCATGAACATAGTTTTCTTACAAGATGAATTTATAAACTGAGGGACAAGAATTTCATATTTGCAATTACGTAACTTGCATTAACCTAATTGCACAATGAAATATATAGACATTTAAAACAATGTGGAAAAGGAAAAAGCTTCAGGTCGACTTACTTGTCGGTTGCCAATTTCTAAATTCATCTATATTCAGAAAATTGAAAAATTACCCTCTAGGTAAAGGAATGTGCTGACCTTTTTGATGTTCATCTCGAGGAGGTGAAGGAGGAATGTGAATCTGTGTGTGCTCTCCTGACGTGAAGTTCAACTGTGTCTCCTCGTCCCCTTCAATGTCAAATCTGCCATTTACATAGAATAGAACTATAAGACAATGACTACGAAAGCATGGGGTTTTGTGATTCAAAAAGGAAAACATGGGGTTTTGTTGTAGGAGGAATGAAACACAACTCACCTCTCCAAGCGACTGTACAAATATGCATCAGCCTGACATGAGTCAAAACGTTCAGGTAAGGTGATATTCTCGGCCTCAGCTGAATAAGAGGATGATATAGGTTAGCATGTAAGTAAGATTTGGAAATACGTGGTCAAAAGACTCAAAACTTAGACCACTATGAAGAAGGCATATTAAAAGAATGACAGAACCTTGATGGAACTGTTGAGGTGGATCTTCCTCGCCTGCATCATTGTTAACATACTGTTCGTCCACACTATCAAGTCGCTGCAAGGGTAGCACAGAATAAGTAAATGAGTAACTGTTTCTTTAGAGGACTCCATCAATTTAGAAATTTCTGTATGGAGTTCATACGTAGGCATCTTCCTACCACATATAATAACTATAAGCAAAACAGTGGAGACAGCATGTCCTTTCTAATGTAACTACATCAACATGAGGGTGAGCCTTGTCGCATCAGAATAGGAACAAAAACTTCAACTAGGTGTCATTAATAGTGGTATAACCTCCATCGAACAGAAACTACATTTCTCCCTAGAATGTCACATCATCACTCAGGTAGCAGGTCTAGAAGCACAAATTATTAACTGCGCATTGGTTATGAAGGAGAAATGCTTCTATGAAACTTATTTTTATTCACTAAAGAATTGCAATTGCACTCTCCAAATTACTTATGATCCACAGTTAAATCATAAAAGACAAACAATGAAAATAGTTTAATAATTAGCGCACATGAACTTGGCAAAAGAATGAGCTCTAGTAGCACTGGCACCACTCGAAAGGGAAAAAAATGAGAGCTCAAAGGCCATGAACTTGAAAATATTTCGTCATTTGGATGCTTGCAGAGTTTTTCGATACTTACCATAGCAAAATAGGAGGTTTGCTGGAACATGGTGGTGGCGCCGTTGGAAAAATTAAGCATTCCTTCAATATCTATGTCTTCATTCTCAGGCAGAGTTACAGCTTCTTTCCTACAAACATGGAGACGCACCCAAAACAAAACCCACAGTTAATCGAGTTAATTGACAATCCTACCCTCCAGCATGGGTGTGGTGGGTACGTTCTACTTTGCAATACCACGAAACATGGAGACACACCCAAAACAAAACCCACAGTTAATCGAGTCAATTGACAATCCTACCCCTCCAGCATGGGTGTGGGTACTTTCTACTTTGCAATACCACGATAAATCACAAGTTGGTAGTGAAATAAAGAAAAACCCAAAAGCCATTCTAACATGGGCCATTTCTAACATGCGCCGTTTCTAAAACTTTTGGCCATTGAAGAAGAAGACGACGAAGCGGCGACTGACCTGGCTTGAGATTTCCCTTTGGGGAGGACAGTGGGGTCCGCAACAGATTTCGCCTTCCATGCTTCGTTTATTTCGACCTAGAACAACACCGATAGGAAAAATCAATTAAACAAACATAGAATATAATGCCATTGGTTAATCAGAAATAGGAAGATATTTCCAGTATTTACCAGAAGACGAGTCACGTCATCTGTACGGAAAAGAGAGCAATACAAAAATATAAGTCAGAAATAAATATTCAGAAACTGGGAATCAATATGTTCAGAACTTAAACCAAAAGAAAAGAAGGATCGGACGGTCACCGTAGAGTAGTTTAACTTTTCGTTCGTACACGATGACGACTCCACCTGAAAACGCATTTGACGAAATGAATTGGTGAGCTACTGGATATGGAAGCAGAGACTAAAAACGAAGAGAATACAGAGAGAGAGAGAGAGAGAGTTTGGCTACCCATGAGAATGCCGGAGAGTCTGAGAGCCATGGGAACTGAAGGATTCAAAATCTCCTCGCTGCAAACAAAAAATCATGAAAATCTACATCGGATTTAGCTGAATGAAAAACAGTGAAAACAATTTGAAAAACTCAAAATTAATAGAAACAAAAACTAAACCAGATCTTGATGATATCGAGCTTATCGAGCTTCCTCCGGTTGATTTTGGCGTGCATTGTCGCCGCCATCCTTCGTTACAAAACGAAGAGAGTTCCATTTGCAAGCGCAATTGTAAATCCAAAGAAAAGTTAATTTCTAAAACAAACGACATGGGAAAAAAAATCCCAGAAACAAAGAGGTTTACTCGAAGAACCCAAACAGACAGAACGATCAAAACGCATGAAAAACAGAGCTATGAAGAAATTCGCATATATTTAAACAATAGATTCAACGAAACTCGTGTGCAAAATGAATGAAGCAGATAATGCATTACCAGATTTGGCCCAGAGGAGCTTTACGAGCTAGTAGCTGATGCGAGTAGAACATTTTGCCGTCGGTGAGAGAAGTACGACGGCAAAAGAGAGAGGTAACGAGTAAGACGAAGCCGAAGAGATTTTAGAGAAAAAGGTTATGAATGAAGATAGAGATGAGAGAGATGAGAAGGAAGGAGCTAAGCCAGAATGGCTGTGGGTGTGAGTGTGTGTGTGTGTTTGAGTGTCCTTTGGTTCTCTGAATATTAACTGATTGTATGCGCGCCAGAACGCGGAGGCAACTTTTGCAGGGGAGAGCCCGATTTCGTGTGATGTTATAACTGATGAAATGACCTATAGGTGTTGGCATTTTGCGTGCTACAACAGTGAAAACGGACAGATGGACGGATTGAAATTACGATTTTAAACTCGGTTGTGTAAATGTTGATTTTTTATGTAAGTAAGCAAGTGTTGCTAGAAAAGTCGGTTAATATGGAACCCAAAGAATCATCTAGTAACTTTTACACGCTAGTTTCTTATTTATGTGCCTTCATTGCCACGTGGCTGATCTGCCAAATCCTTAGGCTTGGGCTTGGGTCATCACCAACCACAAATGGTTTCAAAAGCCTAATACGGGCCATGATCCATGAAGATGACAAACAAGCCCTAACACACGGGCACACCCACCCAGGACGAGCACGAGCTAACCATCTCGACTATTCTAACGAGTAATTTTTCAATGTGACTGTAACACCATCGCGAAAAGCATTTTGGAAGTGTTGTTGATGGAGAAAAATTTAGTTGTAATGAGGATAACATTATTTTGTTGTTCCCGATCAATAATACCGTGATATATGGAAGTATTGTCACGAATATCACAATATTATTAATCAGAGATAGCAAAATAGTAATATCCTTGTTTTATTGAAGTCTTTCTCCACTTAACAATATGACGGACTAGACATACACAAACCTTCATTAAAGGTCCGACTCATTTAATGAACAATTTCACTCTGCAAACTTCTGAAAGTCTCTCTCTCCACCTTATTCTATGAGATTGTAACCTACTCGCCAATGACTCTTTGACTGACACCACACCTCATATTGCTTTTCTTTATATTTTGCAAGGAATTTTGGATACTACGACATATTTAATTCTAACAAAACTATTATTATTTTTTATTTTACATATATATAAACTAGTGTATTTAAAAATTATTGTATAACCCCCTCATTTGACATCAATAAGGCTTGATATAGGAAAGTAAGCATCCTCCAAATTTGTTAAGTTGGGTTGTTTTCCCAGGCTTGTTGAGTTGTGAAGTCTTTCCACATGCTAATTACCAAATTTGTTAAGTAAGCATCCTCCAAATTAGTTAGAAGCCTTCTAAAACTTTTGATTTGGGAGGTAGGCATGAAGTAGAGAAATTATCAAGGCCACTGTTATATCGACATATGATATTATTAATTTATATATTATAATATGAGTGAAAAATAAAATTAATATGTCATGAATTTAATATACAATATTAATAAATAAGTACACATGTAATAGTTACACTAAAAATTTTCCTGAAGATTATCTTACAATTATTTTTCCCATTTGGCACCAACTGCTTCCATATGTACTGACGCTTATTAGTGAACTTGATGTAGGATGAAATATGGTCACTTATGGCACTAGGAAAAGAAAGAAGGCGTATCGTTGGGATTTTCTAATTGATTGAAGAAGAATTAGAGTGAAGAAGAATTGGAGCGAAGAAGTGAAAAGGGACATAGCAGGAATTTGCAGATTTTTCGTCCGAGCTCCAATTAGGATGCAAAATACCATTTCGGAAAGGGAACGATGCCACGAGTCAAACTCACAGCTTTGCTGTGATGTATGATGGATTTTGGCATTCTGAGGTCGTTTGGCCTTCCAAAACTGCATTCAAAGTTTCGTAGTTAATTTTCGGAATAAATTCTTTTTTTCAGTTTTAATGTAATAACTCCCCTAGCAGTTCAAAGGTTGAGAGTTGTGTATTTAGACAGGTTTGTCTAACGTTTTTGAACATCTCAGATTTTAATCAAAATTATCCCAAGAGAATTTCTCTTAGTTTCTGGTGGAATCCAAATTTCTTGTTACTCAAGGTTTTCGTTTGAAACCTTTGTTGCTTGTGCTGCGTCAAGTGGCTCTGATACCACCTTGACGCAGCACAAGCAAATAGATTTTCAAGCGAAAATCCTAAAGAACGATAATCTGGAATCCACCAAAAAATTGGAGAAAACTCTCTTTGATTAATTGTATTAAAATCTGAAGTGTACAAAAACGTTAGACAAACCTGCCTAAATACACAACTCTCAACCCTTGTAACTGCTAGGGGAGTTATTACATTAAAACTGAAAAAAAGAATTTATTCCGAAAATTAACTACGAACCTTTGAATGCAGTTTTGGAAGGCCAAACGACCTCAGAATGCCAAAATCCATCATACATCACAGCAAAGCTGTGAGTTTGACTCGTGGCATCGTTCCCTTTCCGAAATGGTATTTTGCATCCTAATTGGAGCTCGGACGAAAAATCTGCAAATTCCTGCTATGTCCCTTTTCACTTCTTCGCTCCAATTCTTCTTCACTCTAATTCTTCTTCAATCAATTAGAAAATCCCAACGATACGCCTTC